TATTATTTGTAAGATATCTGTCTTCTACTGCCTCATATTTCAATTAGACTACTCTATAGCTTTTTAACTAAAGATGCGGGATAGTGCCTGGCGAATACCGTATATCCGACTTTAGCTCATAATATTTAACCGCTAAATATCTGATACCATATTTTGAGCATTTTTATTCATAACTGTAAACTATAAATCATATTATCAGCCCGTACCAATAAATGGCTGGACATGATCCTCCCTCATCACAGGAATTGTTTGTCGTAATCGTCTCGTACCTGTGACGCTACTCCCCGTCGCTGTTCTAGATATTTATCTCGCGGATTGATCGAAAAACTGACTACGTGGTCTTCATTAAAATCTCAGCTATTAAAAGCCCTCTCATTTACTGACCCTAAAACTTTGTCATTATTAAATTTGATATTTTTTATATAGTAGCCTTATTTAAAAATTAAAAGTTGTATTTATTATAAAACCTATGCTATTGACTGATAGGTACTCGTACTCTTGGTGTTTCTACAGTTCTCATTGCCACATTTTTCAGACATACCTAAAGTCAGAAACATTCTATGGACTTACATTACGTGATTTAATTAAATAAAAATAACCTAAGTTAATTTTTGTAACGCTAGTCTCCAAAATAAGACGTTAGTAGAAAGAAAGCTTTATGTAAATAGAAAAGAGAAAACAAGCCTTAGCATAATCGTTCGAAGAGAGTGTTACAAAAGATCGCTGTAAATCTCACACAGCTTAATACGCGCTCGTATAATAAATGGATACTCATATTCTGACCGTATGCGTTAACAAAAGATGATTCCACAACAACTTCCGTTATTCCAAAACAAGATTCTCCACAAACATTGTTACAACTTTCAACAACACGCTTTAATAAGAATCTATTAAATATAATGAGAAAGTATTCTGCTTTTAACGTGTTATTTTTCGGTTTAGTTTGCCTACAAGCTCATATTGCTTATTTTATAACCAGATCAAGCATAATCGCGCGAGTGTGGGGAGTAAATTGATCGAGGCAATGAAATAAATCGTTGGGGAATTAGTGGGTTCGGTAAATGAGACAAGATTTAAGTCAATGAGGGTGAGAGGCGTGCTGTCTGTAGGGGTACGGGAGTGCCAAAGGTTAGACGATTTATGTGCGCGTGCGCCGACTCATGCCCGCCATCTGTCGCCTCTGATTCGGATTTACGCCGCTATTGATTTCGGCTTATGATTATACCCCATTGTCCGTGTGTACGTTCGAGACTCAGGTTCAAATTTTATCGTATAGGAATATGCGCTTTAGAATGAATGCGCTTGTCAGATAAGTTAAGCTTTCACAAAATACAAATTGTTTTTGTTTGTAAAGTAATGAGTCGAGTGGGCCTGACGGAATCCCCCCAATTGTGCTGAGGATGTGTGCTCCAGAGTTGGCACCGGTTTTAACGCGTCTTTTCCGATACTCCTACTCCCTAGGCGTAGTCCCAAAATCATGGAAGACGGCTTTCGTCCTCCCGATCCCTAAAAAAGGCGACCGCTCAGACCCGTCCAACTATCAGCCTATCGTCATCACCTCCTTGTTCTTCAAAACAATGAAGTCCATTGTAAACTGCCAGCTCATGAGGTACCTTGAGGATCACCAGCTGATTAGTGACCGCCAATACGGTATTCGCCGTGGTCGGTCAGCTGGTGATCTTCTGGTCTACCTAACTCACAAATGGGCGGAGGCAGTAGAGTCCAAGGGGGAAGCATTGGCCGTTAGTTTAGACATTGCGAAGGCCTTCGATCGGGTTTGGCACAAAGCGCTTCTTTTGAAGCTCCCTTCCTATGGACTTCCCGAGAAATTGTGCGATTGGATCACCAGCTTTCTTGCAGATCGGAGCATCAAGGTCGTTGTAGACGGTGCAAGGTCCGATTACAAGCCTAATAATGCTGGTGTTCCACAAGGCTGCGTGCTATCGCCAACGCTGTTTCTTCTGCATATCAATGATATGTTGCAAACCCGTAACATTCATTGCTATGCAGATGACAGCACTGGTGATGCTCTTTACACCGGCCGAGCCAATATTTATATTATATTAATACAATATCGGGACAAACTTGTGTCTGAAGTCGAGTCTTTGCTGAACAGAGTCTCGGATTGGGGGCGACTAAATCTAGTCCAGTTTAACCCCCAGAAGTCACAAGTTTGCGCGTTAACCGCTAAAAGAACCCTTTTGTCGTATCTCCTCAGTTTCAAGGCACTCCCCTTGTTGCCTCAGCCAGTATCAGAATCCTCGGCGTCGACATATCGAGTGACGTGCAGTTTCGTGGTCACTTGGAAGAAAAGGCCAAATTGGCCTCTAAAAAGCTTGGCGTGCTCAGCAGAGCGGGTAAGTATTTTATGCCGGCACACCGCCTGCAACTTTACAAGGCGCAGGTTCGGCCGCACATGGAATACTGTTCCCATCTCTGGGCTAGGGCTCCCCAGTACCAGCTCCTTCCACTTGACCGCATCCAGCGCAAAGTGGCTCGAATCGTCGACGACCGAGTGCTTTCCGATCGGCTTGATTCACTGGCACTGCGAAGAGATGTTGCACCTCTTTGCATTTTATTTCGCATATACCATGGAGAGTGCTCTGAGGAATTGTTCGGAGCCGCCAAATTTCGTGAACGCACTACGCGGCAAACGTCCCGATACCATCCACACCATCTGGATGATGGTGTGGATGGTATTGGGCTTGGCGGTCCACCACTGTACGTTTCAAAAGGATTTTTCTTCCGCGTACAACCTCTCTGTGGAATAGTTTACCACCGGCGATTTTTCCGGACCGATACGACCTGGGGACCTTCAAGAAAAGAGCTTACTCCTTTCTAAAGGGCCGGCAAAGCACCTGCAATTCCCCTGGTGTTGCGGTTGATCATGGGCGGCGGTAGTCACTTAACATCAGGTGAGCCGCATGCTCGTTTGTCCCCTCTTCTATTAAAAAAATAACAATCAAATGCAAAAACTTGATTTTAGTTTGATTTGATTGTAATTTTGACTTGATTGTAATTTTTGTAAGACCTATTTTTTTGAAATAATTTTACTAATTTCAATACTTAATCAGAAAACATGGAAAAATTCACAAAAACTAGGGATGTAACGATACATAATTGTGCCAATACGATACCGATACCGATTATTGTAGTAAATAATCGGTGATACTGATACCGATACCTTTATCGGTGACTGAGTAGAAATAGAAAAAATAACAAATAAATATACAATGAATAATTTTCTTTAGTATGAATAAAAGTTGAGTTTGATTTATCTGAGATTGAACTTTGAGAAGTTTGAAAATCAACATGTCAATTCAAAATTCAAAGAGTTCTTTGAATTTTGAATTTGTTATGTTTATTTATTTATATGAAATAATCAAAAATATTCTCCAGCAATCAAAGCGCTAATCAAGAAAATAATTTTCCTTACACAAAGTAGTAATTTAAACCGATGTAAAACGATAAAGTCAGTAATTACAGTTAGCTTTTGGTAGGTTTTTGTGAAGAAAAAAAAATGGTTAAATTAATAGTAGATAATCTGCAATTATGCATATTATTTTGAAAAAGACCTGTTGTTAAAAATACACTCTGTGACAACTGCTCTAAGCAAGAATGTCGCGGGCACATTGTTTGTTTCACGCGCTTTTCATACTCTTGATATCGGTTGTGTACTTGTGTATAATCGGCGATACCGATATATCGGTCTGCCGATTAAATCGGCCGATATATCGGTATCAGTATCGGAATCGTTACATTCCTAACAAAAATCTACACTGTAAACTTTTTAAAATTAATATTTATACCGTTATCGTCATTACATCCCATCACAACACCACGGCTGAACGTAGGTCTCCCTCAAGGAATACCTAAAAGCACGGTTCTGAGCCACCACCTGCAAGCATCCAGCCACTTCTACTGCAGCTGCCCTCCACCTCATCTACCGACACCAGGCTGCCACTAGAGAACCTTTCTTCCCTGCCGCTTGCCTAATGCCTATATTTTAGTAATTCAATTTTTTATTGCGGCGGCCGAGTTGCAAATGATGGTTACATTAATGAACAAGTCATTAAAAGAAAGGGGAATGAAGGTGAACGCAAGTAAGACGAAAGTGATGGTTTTTAAAAGAGAAGAAAGCAAAACGGTATGTGAAATAAGAATAGAAGGAGAGTTAATTGAGCAAGTGGATGAGTTCGTATATTTGGGATGTGTATTCAGCAGGGATGGGAGATATGATAAGGATATTGAACGACGAGTGAATGCAGGAAATAAAGTAAATGGGGCTCTACACTCTATTCTGAATAGTCAGAATGTGTCAAAAAAGGCACGTATGGCAATTCACAATGCTGTATTAGTCCCTACTTTAACATATGGTAGTGAAAGTTGGGTGTGGCAGAAGAAGCACGAGAGTAGAATAAATGCAGTAGAAATGCGGTCGCTAAGGGCTGAATCTGAGTGACAGGGTGAGAAACTGTGTGATAAAAGAAGAGTGTGGTTTTCAAGATGATGCAGTGACCAGGATTAAGAAAGGAATGCTTCGGTGGTTTGGTCATGTAGAAAGAATGAATGCGGAAAGACTGACAAAGCAAATATATGATACAGAAGTGAATGGAAGAGTCGGAAAGGGACGTCCTAGGCGAAAGTTTGTCGGCCAAATTGGCGATATACTAAAAGTGGGCCAAATTAAGAGTACCCTTAACCGACGAGCATGTATGCGTAGGTATATGGATGTGGAAGAGGCGAGAGAGGTATGTCAGGATCGTGCTAAATGGAAGTCTGTAGTATCTGCCTACCCCTCTGGGTGACAGGCGTGAGTGTTTATGTTTTATGTTTGTAATTGTAGTTTAAAGATCACTTTTGTCACTATTACTGCTCGAGTTTCATACGAGTTAAAATAAAACAAACATATTAGGACATTGTTAAGCACTAAAAACTATCGTATGTAAAATACTTTATATTAAACTGAATGTTTTTTTTTGCAGGCGGAGCTAGTGGATATGAGAGCGGAGTTGGTGCAGGCGCGGGCTGCTGTTGTTGGTAAGCCTTGCTATTTAGGTTAATCCGGCTGTAACGATGCAGGCCGAGATATTTTCTACCAATTTAATATTATTAATGCTAATCTTTCGTGTTTACGTTTTAAGTAATATTCATATTGAGGCTGTATATCAGTTGGCGATACACTGACGGTCATATCAATAAGAACGCTTTTTAATGTTCGTCTATTCGTGTTTTATAACACTTATTAAAGAAATATAGATGATCGACATGTGCGAAAAGACTCTTCAACAGGGCTGATAAATCGTATTAACTGGTAATGGCGCAACTACAATCCTAAAGTTATTTTTTTTAAGTTATTCTATCTGCTATCTTATAACACCCGCTAGCCGCGCCTGCGCCTGTAACAACTTTTTATAACACTGTTTTAGCTACAGGAATTTAATTCCATATAAAAAATCATAACTCTTGTTATAACTTAACATTTAAATACGAATTAGAATGCATATAAAATCTTATGGGAAATACATAAGGAAAATGAAAATGAAACAAATTTATTTTATTGAATTTGATTTAAAAGATGTTAGGGCGTGCGAGACAATTCGTACTTGTCAATCTTTATACATAACAGTGTTTCGTAATTATTATTGTAGGTACTTTTAGAAAATCACAGTAAGGAATTGTTGTAATGCCTATTGTATAGTACAGCATTAAGTCCGTTAATGTGACATTATGTTTATTGCTAAATATTTAGAAATTAAATAATCTGCAAAAAGGCAACATCGTTTACTATAACCTACATCCAACGCGCTGGAAGGACAAGTCATTCTTCTCGGTAAAGAGATCGAGGATGAAATAGGTAGTCCAGTCTAAATGCATGATACCTGTGGATAATGGTGAGTGCGGAAGAAAAGCCCAGCAAGGTGAAAGTATGTTTTCACGAGTCGTGTTTCTATATATGGTTGGGCAGTATCGTGTAAAGAGCGTTTGATTTTTGCGTAATCTCGCTGCTGCATTATCTAGTTCTCTTGTGGTCGTAGTGTTACTTGACAGAATCAAATACATTTTATTCGCTATCACACACTTGCAAAGTACTTTCGACTCCAAATTTTGATGGGGCGTTTTTTTTAACGTGACAACCAAATTCAATGTTTTTCCATGACTTTCTTAAAGCTTGTAGTTACTTTTGTATAGTATAGTAATATAAGAAACTGAAACCTTCTTCAATGAGCCTTTTAACTTTTCCACATTAATTGCTAAATATCATCGTGGACCAGGTGCACCAGACAATATAAATATCTCAATTTCCAAATTTTGATTATGTGAACCGAGGTTTGCTGCTAAAAACGAGCATGCCTCCGCTCATTACATTGTTTTCTACTTCAGTCGTTTTTCGGTCTAAGCAAAAGTCACAAAGTAAGTGCAGTCAAAGTTCTCTAAGGAAAATATATTTTAACTCATAATTTACCATTTTATTCTTCGCTTGTCAAATTATATGACGGCAAAATATTGCTCTATTCATAGGTCCAAGCAACTCTTGATGTTTTATAACGTTCTAAAAACTGATCACAATAAGTAGTGGGTTTATTTAGTTGCGACTGAATATTAACATATAGAGGCGTGGTAGCTCAGATATACTAAGTGCTGGGCGTAAATTTCATGGCTACCTGGATTCAATCCTTGCCAAAACCAATGAAATTGATAATGCAGTGTTACAGAGCTACACGAGAGTACACACGTATACTATACATATATATATATATATATGTATACGTTCGTTCCAAGTCACGATAAGATCATTTTGTTGGGGGACTTTAACAATTATGATCTGTGAAGCGGTGTCATTTGCAAACATGGCGTTGGAAAATGTAACGACAACGGATTACGTCTTCAATCGTTATGTTCGATCTTAGCATCATCAATATTTTTTTTCGTTGTGCCGATAAGTATAAGACCTCGTGGTTGCACCCTACATCTAACCACTGGCATCTTTTAGACTACGTCGTGATCATCGTCTCATTGTATCGAAGAAGCAACCAGAGCTTTAAGCTCCACGGCGAGCACCTCACAATTTTTTTATAGGATAGAGTGACAAACTAGCACACAGTCCACCTGAACGTAAGTGGTTGCTGCGGCCCATAGACATCTACATCTATCCTCGATTACAAATGAAAATCCAGATGCGTTGTCAGCCGTGAGGACTAAGATGGAATGCCTTGTTTCCACTAAAAAGGGTCTCCGGTTCTCTACACTCACCATACGAAACACAGCAGCATTAAGCTACTATTTCACGCTAGTATTCTGTGAGAGCGTGGTCCTTCCCCGGTCGAGCCGACCCATTCATGCTACAACTATACTACTAATATAACTGCAACATGGCTCCACCACGTATAAAAATTTTACCTAAACTGGCATTTTCAAGACTTATTACCTCCACAGAGTTGGGTAATAACTTAGACTCAAAATTTTCTGCTTGTGTTCCACAGACTGAATTTTTCACAACAAATGACAAGTGGCGATCGTTTGCAAAGCACCTTCATGTCTGTGCTATTGATACTATAGGCAAACCACTGAAAAAAAAAAACAATATTAGTTTGATGCATTAGATAATAGGCATCAAAATGCTTGTTGAATTGTATAGACATGAACTGAACTCCAAATCAACGGATGTCAACGGAAAAAAGGAAGATCAACACTAACTTAGATCTAAGGTTCGCCGACTAAAGGATAACTGGTGGAAGGAAACGTTGCTGAACTGCAGCAATACGTCGATACTTAACAAACTGGCAAATTCTTCGAAGACATACCAGCGATTTTCTGTCCGCGAGTCAGAAAATCAACCCCACTATATTCGAGGTAGAAGCAATATCGAGTCACAGATAGAAATGATGTAATAAAGCGTTGGGCAGAACATTTTAATGGTTTTGAAACCCTGTCCTCGGTGCTAACCTGTCCTAAATAAACTGGCTTGAAGAACTGCCGGTTTATTAACATCTAGACGATCCACCAACTTAAGAAGAGTTCGAAAAGGCAGTCAAGCGTTTCATAAACTCAAAAACACCCGGTATGAACCAACTTCCAGGCGAAATAATATATACATACAGCGGAAAACATGTTCTTAACAGGCTTTATCATCTTGCCTTGAGAGTGTGGGATAGCGAAGAGGTGCCTCAAGACTGGAAGGATGCGGTTATTTGTAAGCTGTACAAAGGGAAGAGAATGTCTACGATTGCAGCTCTTACCGAGGCATATCGCTTCTTTCCAGCGCCGGTAAAATTCTTGCAAACATTAATTTAAAAAAAGGTAGCGGAACAACACCTACCAGACAGTCAATGTGGTTTCAGAGATACCATCTCGTATTGATAATGCTGCTGCCAATTTCGGGCGACTCACTGATCGTGTCTGGATGTCCCACGATCTTAAGCTGGAGACGAAGATTAGTGTCTATAAGGCACTTATCAGACCTGTTCTTTAATACTACGCAGAGATATGGTGCCTTTACAAATCAGACATGAAGAAACTTGACACTTACCACTTAAGTTGTCTAAGAACTCTGTTAAAGATCAAGTGGCGGGATTATGTTTCTAACTGAGGTTCGGCGTCGCTCAGGGATGTACGGTGTGGAAGCTCTTAATGCTACGTCAGCTCAGGTGGTGTGGGCATTTCCTTCGCATGGATGACCAACGTTTACCAAAAGCTGGTCTCCATTCAGAGATAGCGGAACGTAAACGAAAGCGCGGTGGACAGCATTTGCGCTATAAGAATGTGTTCAAAAGACGCCTTAACGCTTGCGCTATCAACCCCGCGTTTTGGGAGGAGCTTGCAACAGGGAGGTCATCTTGGCGGTCGACCATCTACAAAAGTATAAAATAATTTGAAAAAAGCCGCTTCAAGATTGTAGACGCAAAACGCCAACTGCGCAAAGAGAGCACAGTACAAAGTAGCTAGACTTAACGAGACGTTTCCACAAGCCGAACTGCGAAGGCTTGAACAGGCAGAGCGTGAGGCAGCTCACAGAGCTGCCGAGACACTAGAGCAGTCCCAAGCTTAGGGTCGACAGCATGCTGAATATTTAGCATCTGAACGGACTGATGAGACTCCAGAACAGTCCCAAGATCGGCGTCGACAGTATGCTGAGTATATAGCATCTCGCAAAACGCCAACTGCGCAAAGAGAGACCTAGGCCCTCCTAGACATACACTTATCAACAACTCAGCTGGACAACTCTACTGCCACGCATGTCAAAGAGCTTTAAGACCAAGTTGGGCCTAGCAAGTCAGATTAGGGCTCATGACAGGAAAATATCCTAATTTCTAGGGTCGCCGTCATCGAATAATAAATATTATATCCATAACTATAAAGTAGTTGGCAGCCCTGTACATGTCATTCATTAGTTTAAATTAAACGGGCACATCTAGTAGCTGCGCAGGCGACAAACTCAACGCATTTCGCTTAATTATTTGTAACATGTACCTCGAGTTAAAGTTAAATCTGACTCTATCTGACTCACGATTGAATAATAAATGAAACGCGTCATGCAGAGATCATTTGCTTCTTTATGACTGTTAAGTTTAAAACACGCACGTTTAATATTCAAGTTGGTGATTTCACACTGCTGATATAGGAATCAATAAAATTAGAAGTAAATATTAGTTTGTACATATCACCATGTCCTACGTCCATGTTTTTACCGACTTCAAAAAGGAGGAGGTATTCAATTCGGCTGTCTGTTCTCTTTTTTATGTGTGTTACCTCATAACTTTTCTGAGGGTGATTCGATTTTGATGATTCTATTTTTATCTGAAAGCTGGTGCTTCTCGTGTGGTTCCATATAAATTTAATCAAGATCTGACCAGTCGTTTTGCGTCTCTTTCACTCTCTCTCTCATCTTTAAAAAATCGTATTTAATTGACTTCGAATACATTGATTCGGTCGTATTAAATTCGGTTGTACAAAATTTTTAATTTTACCACTTGTTTATTATTTTATTACTTGATCCTTGTTATTCTTATTGTTAGTTAATACTATTATATACGATATACTTTATATACTGTTATACTTTTCTTTTTTTTACACAGATTAATATTCTAATTAAAAACACCCAAAGCGAATTTGTTTAAAATTGTTTCCTAGAAATTTTATTAAATGGTGTTTTTAAAAAATAAGTTTTAGTAAAAAGTAAAATACGACTTCAAAGAACATGAAGAATAAAATGAATTCACATTATCAAGTCAGTGCTGGGACATAATGTAGAAGACGAATTAAAGCCTACACTACAACTACAGAATGTGAAATTAGTATATTATAAATGCGAAAGTTGTCTGTTATGTTTTAACTCTGATCCGATCCTGTAAAATGTGGTATGGATATATATTATAGATTTTCCCATTCAATTCAAAATTCAATCCTAGGGAAGGACGTAAAATAAGTATTTCTCCCTAAATAAACAACATTAGGTACAGACACGACCAAAAGCTAAATCAGTTCAATTAAAGTAGAGTTCTGAGGTAACACACATAAAAATACAGTCGAATTGAGAACATCATCCTTTTTTTAAAGTTGGTTGAAACTAAAAATATACAGTTTTTTTTCTAAAGAACTGACAGTGTTACTAACTGTTGAAATCGGTTCGGTTTGTAGTTGTCTCTCTCGGTTTTCTAGCTTGGTCGTTCGGGTACAGAACGATAGCAACAGATCCTTCGCATATTCTTCGAATTTCTTGCAAACCGAATATCAAAATATATAAAATGTATTGAAATGAAGAGCAATTACCGTATAGTTTTTAATATGATTCACAATTTAATGTAATTAGGAAAATGCAAGGAAGGCGGAGATGGAATCGGCCGCATTACGGAGACGACGCGAGCCCGGGCCGAGGCGGCGCAACTGGCTCGAGAGAATGCTGCCCTTCGAGACACCGTGCTGTCCTTGCACTCCGAACTCTTCGGTGCCAGGTAAACACCCTGATTCCTTGATGCCGGCTGTACACGCTCGTCGAGACAACACGAGACAGGCCGAGTACGAGTGTGTACATGCTGCTCTCGTCTCGTCGCGTCGCGTCTCGTGGCCCTCGTGCGCTCTCGGAAGCGTGTCGGTTTTATGCACTCGAGTCAAAGGGTCTCGTGGGCCTCACGATGAAAACGACAGCGTACTCTATTCTATTCACCGTAAATACATAATAGAAACTATCCACCATCTCCTTCGCAATGGCTTATTAATTTAATTTTTTAGTAAATGTGTAAAACATTATAATAGCTCAAAGACAAAACGCAACAACTGTTTCATCTAGGTCCATCTTAGCGGGCATACGAAGTTTAAAAGATACGAGTATGTACATGGTGTGTTTTCGTGTCGAGCCTTTATGTGACGAGAGGCACACGAGGCAACGAGACGAGCGTGTGCAGCCGCCATATCTAATTAGCAAAATGTAAAAGTTGGCTAATATAGGTAATACGTCGATACCTTGGAAACAGTAATCGCCAGCAAAAAGTGAAAAGCAGCAGCAAGTGAAAAGTGTAAGGTTTTTAGTTTGACTTTACGCCTTCAGACGTTCGTTAAAGCTTTTTCTGTGTATCAGCAGAGTGTACTATTTGTATGCAAGGTAAATATTTGATACAAAAGTTAACATGGTATATGTTTAACAAATTTTCAAAGGTTTAACATATTCCGGGTTATTCCATTTATCCACCCTAAGGTGAACTCGGAATTTCGTGAACGGAGTGTATAATCGGAATTATCTTCTATTTGTTCTTTCGACTTTTTATCCAAAGTACAGTTTAACGCATACATTTTAATTATTAATTAATTTTTAATTACCTCAGATTTAATCATAAAACATGTCGTTACCTTTACCGTTACAGCCTACTAAAGTCCACGTACTACTTTCATAAAAATCAAATAAAATACCTCGTTTCAAATAATATTACTACGAAATTTACTGGTATAAATCCTGCAATATGTCCAGTTTAGTACTATCACGAATTTCATTTTTGAGTAGGTGTAATTAGATATCCTGGATAAATTCTGCACTTTAAATGTAAATTTGCAATCGTTTTCTAAATTTCTTTGCTACATACAACAGACATGTTAGCGAAGAATTGGGCGTTTTGTAAGCATTCCAAAACCTTTACTATAGGATGTTTGTCTTTAATCTGTAATCCTGTGAGAAACTCTTTTTATTTCAGTGTTAACTTTTCAAACAAGAAGTATGTAGATATTTCTATAGGTAATATCTACTAAGTATCTTGGGCCAGTTTTTATCATGTTTCTGTAAATGACTGTACCCCATCGAGGGACAAAATCAGAAGAAAAATAGTATATACGAATTCCAATTATCATCCCCGTCTGGGATGGATAGATGAACACAAGTTTACGAGTTTCCACCCTAGGGTTTTTAGGGTGGACGGAAACGGAATAAACCGATATTCCTATCGTTATACTTTTGGTTGATAAAAGGAAAGCAATGTAGGTAGCAATACCAGTACTTTCCACCAGCGGCTTAACTAGTGACGGGCCAGTTATTTCCATGGAGTGCCGCTTATTAGGTCTAAATTAAAGGGAAAAATCAGAAGATAATTGCGGAATTAAATATATTACAAAATTAAAGATACAGAAGAAAAATGGTAGCCTAAGGTCGAATCGCTCGTCCCCTTGTCGTAATACGTCGTCGTAGACATCATTAAATTATTAGTTATAATTTTAAGTACTGATTATCCATGTCTCAGGAATAAAATATTTCAAAGACTCATAGTCAAGTCATATAACCCTCTAAGAAGTGAGAGGAGGTTTTTTGTTTGCCCCCCAGCAGTGGGGCGCATACAGTATATAATAATTACTTAGACATACCCATTAAGATAATGTTGTCTATATTTGTGAGCTTAATTTTTTTGCTTTACCTTGTTTTTATTACGTTTCGGTTAATTGTTTTGCTCGGAGGTTTTTGAGATAATGGATTTTGAATTAACTTTTCTACAAAAACTGGTGATATATATAAACATAACGACAAAAACCTCAAATTGAGTTTTTGAGACATTAAAACAAAACTTTTAAATTTGTGGGTGTCCATTATACAAAATTGAAGTAAACAAAAAATATATGTAAAATAATAACTGTGATGTTTTTTGTGTTAATGATGACTGGTATTCTTTGGTATTGTTGCGTGCCATAATTAATGCCTCGTACATTGAGAGTGCTCACTAGCGCCATCTAGTGTCGAGTAGCAGAACTAGGAGAGCTTTCTAGAAAATTCCATACTAGAACATTCTTCACCTAGTCACTCGGGACCGGTATGTACTCGAACATTCTAGATGTTTCAGTAGAAGAGGCCCTATATAAATAAAGTCGGTAAGGACCGCGACCGAGGCGGTATTGAATTGGCAATTCAAGAGAATACTTCGAAGCGATAAAACTGCGAACTAAAGTGATCATGATCAATGTGATTTATTATTAGTGTGTTTTAAGTTGTAATTGGTGCTCGGTAATTAAAGTGTCAATTTTGGTAATTCAATCGGCAGTTTATATTGTCACGAACCCCAAGCTCGTAACAGTATGTTTCATTGTAAATAATTTATTCTTCGGTACACACGTGTATTGTTGACATAAGATAATCAATCAACTCAAACCATCTCGAAATGTCGTCACAAAGCGACTATGGATAGCACAGAAGAACTTGTGGTCTCGCAGCGAGGTTTTGCCTTAATTGACAGCACCACTCGCCTAGTGCATGCTTCATGTTGCTTTCCTGGAGTAGGAACTATATAAGAGTATAGGATAGTTGTACCGTAATTTATTGCAACCACTAGGTTTATCGAGAACATCCCTTAGCTGAATGTTACGACATCATCGGAATGAGATGGATAAACTAGCCAATTTCACGGAAAAGTGATAGGTATTACTGAATAGGTGTTTGTCCTGCCTTTATTTTCTAACACTGCCGCGCTAAGCTCGATATCTTAGGCATTTATATCCTAATTGTATTTTTATTACCAATAGGTTGGCCACAAAGTATCTAGATAAAGAACTGGCTGGCAGGATACAGCAGCTGCAACTTCTCGGCAGGGACATGCGGTCGGAAGTTCGAGATTCACTTTGGGCGCAGGTATTTTATTTATTATTTGGTATTTTATTCATACGATCCATAAAATAATAATAACTGATTTTCTTCTTTGATTTGTTTTTCTTGTTAAATTTTGACATTGACGTTTTGTATCTTTAATATTTGTATACCTGAGGGTTGAATGCAGCGAACATAATGTTTTCAAGATCTATGCTGTCTGTATTTAGGTACTTATTACCTGTATTCACAAATAAAAATAAATTTGTATTTTAAAGGCAAAGTTGCCAAGGGACGTCCTAGTAAAAAGTTTATCGACCAAATTAGCGATATATTGAAAATGGCTCAAACAAAGAGGCCTTCGCTTAAAAATGATGACCCTTAAGCGACGAGCATGTATGCGTAGATGTATGAATGTAAAGGAGGCGAGAGAGATGTGTTAGGATCGTGCCAAAGTCCGTAGTCTGTCTACCCTCTGAGGGGCGTAAGTGTTAATGTTATTTTCTGTAATAAAGGCGCGTAACAAAAACAAAGGTGTTTGTTAAACATGGCGCGCACGGCAGGTGGAGGCGGAGATCCTGCTGCAGCGGCACAAGACGCTGGTGCGCGTGTGCCGCGGGCTGTCGCCGCGGCCGCCGCGTCCGCGCGCGCCCGCCTCGCGCCCGCGTACCGTGCGCGTGCGCCGCTCGCCGCACCTCGGCCTCGGCATCTCCGTCACCGTGAGTCGCTACATTCCTTCATTCATATTAGATTCAGGAATAATTTGCTGCGCGACTTTTTATATAAAATATGGTGACTAACGAGCACACACTCCACCTGATGATAAAGTGGATGCAAGGTCCATAGATATCTGCATTTATCCTCGTCAAAAATGAAAATGTAAATGCATAACATAACAGCATTAAGGTGCTATTTTACGCTGGTATACATTAGTGTACTGATAACGTTACTACGACGTATAAACGACTTAGAGACCTTCAAGAAAGGAGCTTACTCTTTTTCAAAAGGCTGTCAACGCATCACCAACAAGCGCATCCACGACTTTATCTGCCACCTGGACGGCACCACTTTGGATTAGGGAAATATTTCTCAGATTTCATAGTTCCTACTTTATGGAATTAAGAATTTAGATTGTTAGGTATAACGATTAATATTTTTTTTTCTGAAATATTTAACATGTTTAATATTAAATAAATGATTAGATCAAAATGGATAAAAGAAAGTTATGGATATTCCTAAAATTAAAGAATTAATAAAATGTTGAAAACTGTGTCAAAAATAATAGCAAACACTAAGGCATAGTTTTTTAATATATAAAAAAAAAAAAAAAAAAAAAAAAAAAAAAAACCGTCAAAACCAAAACAAAAAAAAAATTAAAACTTTCGAAACACATTAATATTTTAAGATTTACCTTTTAAATTAGTGCTATTTCGGATTTCAATTTGAATTATTTACCTGATAATTTAATTTGAGATCTGTAAGTAGACTCATAGATCTAGATATTAGCTTACTATTATTACTCTGTTTCTTCGGTTTTCTTTCTTTGTTTTCTTTTGCTATTTACACATAAAAGTAAAATGAACACACGCAACGCCAAAACGCGTCAAAGGAGCAGTGTGAGCTGTTGCTTAAAGAAAGGGATGACAACGAAAAGGAAATAATAAATATAATTGCCAAAATAGTCAACTAAAAAGTGATATGGTTAAGTTGCATAAAGACTTTACAAATGTTTTACAAGAAACGGATCAGCTTCATGGAACAGTCGATGAGTTTGACCGATGCAGCAAAGAATATGAGGAATCCCTCAGATTAATTGCTGCATTGCAGTTGCAGTTAAGTGAGGCTAATGAGCAGATTGTGCAATTAAAACAATACTTGGATGAATTGAAAGTGTCCCAAACTCAAAGTCTGTTCAATGAGCTCATAGTATGTAAATCTTCAAAAACATTGCAACCCTCCACAACAATCGATTTCACTGGTGATGATTTTGTCACATCAAGAACAGCAGAAAGGATTATATGCAGTAGAAGAAAATTAAAGAAATACATAAAAATTAATAAATATGTTAGGAAAGTACAAAAGTTAATTGAAACAAAAATTAAAGCAAAAAATTATATAAATATATGTAAGGAAAAGCATGAATTAATTAATAAACTTTAATTATATTCAATTGAGGTGGAAAATATGAAAAACTGTTATGAGACTGAAATAGAGTGTGTCACCCATGATGCCTGTATGAGAAGGTATCCATTGGAAGATTACCACCTTATTTAATTCACTAAGCTTACATATAGAATCTAGGATACTATAGGCTATCGGAAGTCCTCGAATACTCGAGGGCAGCCGAGCCAAATGTAACAGGGCGCTCTTAGAATCGGATAATATGACAAATTGATTGTAATTCAACGTTGTAACGTACGATGAAGCCTCGGATATCGCGATCAGTTCACAGTGCATTATAGAAACGTCAGCCTTTATTTTAATTCGTACACTGATGTCCATCTGCTGGTCAACAAAGGCCGCACCGCATCCCGTTTTATCCTTTTATCCGTCTGTGTAAATCTTATAGTGTGTGTTGTACTTATTATTTAGGAAGTTGCAACATATATTACGTAAATTACGAGGGTGGATTGAAAAGTACTCGGCCTAACACAGATCCATTCAATTCTAAAAATCAAATTTACCCACATTATTTAGTTCAGTTCAGACTAGTTCATTGTGTGAAGTTCGAAACGTGTGCGATAATTAGTTGTGATTTTATAAATTTATTAACAAAGTAATCGGACATAATTTCCGCGAATGGAGCAAATCGAGCAGCGTGCCGTCATTAAGTACCTCCATAAGAAGGGGCTATCATCAAAAGCCATCCATGATGACATGGTCAGTACATTAGGCGATTGTGCTCTATCATATTCATCCGTCAAAAAATGGATAGCAGAATTTAAGCGTGGTAGAGAGAGTGTGAAAGATGAACCCCGCTCTGGAAGGCCTTCGACGTCAACTACTGACGAAAATATTAAAAAAAGTACTTGATTTAATAATGGTAGACCGCAGATTAAAAATTAGAGAGATAGCCGAGATTATAGGCATCTCTTATGAACGAACTCAAAACATCATTGTCAACGAGTATGGTTTCCACAAGGTGTCTGCGAGGTGGGTTCCGCGACTGCTTTCAGTTGAACAAAAAATGACGCGATTGACTATTTTACGCGACTGTTTGAAGTTATTTGAAGCCGATGCAGATGATTTTTTGAATCGTTTTGTTACTATGGACGAAACATGAGTTCATTACTGTACACCGGAAACAAAACAACAATCAAAACAGTGGAGAAGACCCGGTTCACCACCCCCTAAAAAGACTAAGTCGATTTTGTCGGCAAATAAGGTGATGGCTTCAGTATTCTGGGACTCGAAAGGTGTGATTATGATTGATTATCTTGAAAGGGGTCAGACTATAAACTCTGATTACTACTGCACCTTACTACGTTATTTACGAGAGGAAATAAAAGAAAAACGTCGAGGAATGCTCAGAAGAAAAGTCCTGTTTCATCAAGATAATGCCCGTGTTCACACGTCAGTACAGTCAATGGCTGAAATTCACAACTGTGGCTTTGAACTGTTACCGCATCCGCCGTATTCACCTGATCTGGCACCATCAGACTTCTTTCTGTTCCCTAACCTAAAAAAGCACTTGGGAGGTCAAAGATTTTCGACAAACGACGAGGTCAAAGCAGCTGTAGACGCATATTTTGACTCTAAGGAAGAATCATTTTTTTTCAACGGTCTAAATGCTTGAAAGGGGAGGTGGCAAAAGTGTATTGAACTTGATGGTGATTATGTAGAAAAATAAAAATATAACTGATTTAGTATGTGTTTATTTTCTTGGTTAGGCCGAGTACTTTTCAATCCACCCTCGTATCTATACCAACATGCCTCTTTGGGCGTTCCATTCCGTCTACTATAGTCTTAATATGAGATATTTCATATCTACTAATCCAATCGCTGAGAGAGTAAATCAATAGTTTGGAGTCAGAATGCATAGAAAGATTACAATATTTGTTATAAGTTTGAACCAGTAGCGGAACTTTCTTTCTCCTCCAGTATAGGCCCTGATACTGACTGTTTAGTTCTTCTAGAACGCGTTTGTTATATTATTTTTGATTGACCTAAACTTAAACCAAAATTTTGCCGCAAGATATCTTCTACGAATGAACAGTGGTTGTAGACACAGTTCACTTTCCATGACATGGATAGGGGTGCTTCTTATTGTAACGGTTCCCCCCCCTCTCTCATATAATAAATATATAAAATACTAAATGTATTATATTCCCCTTTATATTAAAAATTATATATATGTGACCAGGATTAATAAATTATGTTTAGATCTTTCTAAATGATCTTTCTAAAGGTTTAATAATAGGCCGTTTGTAATATTTTGGCGTGATCGTCTTAGTTAGGACCCTTATTTACGTTGTGTTTGTTTAGTAACTTAGTTCTTTTAGGTGTCTTTTGGAAGAATGAATACTCGCCAGAGCAATTGAAAGCTGTTGGTAGTGCCTTATAAGCTAAGTGAACCCCGTTCACGAAGACAGGGCTCGAAAAAAGGTTAAGAACATAAAACGTCCCTATTCCACTTGCATCAGGTTTACATTATTAATTATCCCTTCCCGCTCAGAAAAGGCTCAAAATATATTTATACAAAATACCCGATACAAGGGCTTCGCTCTCCTACATTTATTTAAAAAAAATGTAGGGGAGGTACACGGCCCCACACACGCCGTGCACGGTGAGTGCCAACCATTTTGATGCACTCCCCCCGAAGGGAAAGCTAATTCGGGAACTGGACCGTAGTCCACAGCAAAATAACTGGCGAACCAGTAAAAGAGGCTTGGCCCCTTGCTAGTGCGTAAGCACAAACATCGACCGAAGTCGCGCATGTCAATGCGTGTAAACGCCAAACAGAATACGAACGAATCCAGCCACAGTGAATGTACGTCACACGGTTTAGGCAAATAGGCACACTGGCCGTAAACCCTCCGTGAGCGCCACCACCTGCCAGACCGCCGCTCCTGCAGACGTGATGTAAGTGTATGGCATCACCACCAGTTGCATGATCAGCACGGCTACTAGCCGCAGAGCGTGTCATGAGTCTACCGCTCACCTCAAGGGAATGGGGTCCCACGTTGTGCGGCTTTCGGCCGCAGCCTTGAGAGTCTCCTCAGATCCTCCCGCCAGCTACCACCCGCATGAGGTCGACACATATGCTCCACCAACCAATACAACGGCAGATATAGCCAAAAGGCAGTTATAAGATAAGAGTAATAATTCGCCATCAGAAAGGGTTTGTGTCACTGACGTTGAGTAAATGCATTTTCGATCATGTTTGTCTCACCCACCGACAAGTTGCCTTCAATCATTCAAAGGTGGGAAAGTTACAGAGATATAATATTATGTTGTTATATAAAACATCGTGGAGGGCAGACAGTCTGCAGCCCCGTAATGAAGGGACCCGACTTGGGCAAAGCTACTTAGGTGTGAGTCAAACCAAGACGCAGAGAGCGCCATTGAGAATAGCGTCCCACCAAACAACCATCGCAGAGACGCAATGCTGCAGAACGCAACAAGCATCATTACGACTATCGTCGGGCTTACACCATCCCAAGGTCCCCCATACATCCCAGCAGACATCACCACCCGCATACCTCCATCGACCAGAACC